AGGGCCCCGCAATGGTAGCCAATATCGCAGAGAAATCAATCCAATCACGGTCAAAACTCAAAGTAGCAGCTCCCTAACAACCTACTAAGTCGTAGCAGCAACCCCTCGAAGAAATCCCAATCACTCCCTTCCCTCAGAGCATCCTTTCCCAGACAAGTGTTGTTGCTATACGCAGCGAGGAACAGCATCCAGCACAGCAGTGGTGCTCAACAAAGAACAACGCCTTGCGCAGCAGTAAGCCCAGCATGGGACAATGCCCTGCGTCGTGACCACGCCCAAAAAGAACAGTGGTTCTGCACAGCAGTCGTGCGCAGCAAGGTACGATGGCTGCACAATAAGGCACACTGCAAGTAGCCGCATCCGTTCAGGAACCCACCGCGCTAGCTACAGCGTCTAGATGACCATCAACTAGCAGCCGAAGAATCCGCTCTCAGCTCCCTGACTAGCCTCTGAGTCACGGCTGCGGTCTCTCCTCTGACCAGTTGTGACTATGTGGGTTAGAAACCCCTGTGCCATACTCAAACTGCTGAAAAAAACTCAGTAATACCTAGCCCAGGCAGTATCGCACATAACAGCCTGTGCCCAGCTAGCCAAGCAAGGTAACATTACTCACCATCAAGCCCTGCAATCACTGCAAATACAAATAGTCAGTGGTGGTGCCCAACAAGGCACCGCGTTACCCAATCGTTGGACTTGGTGACCACCCATCCGGACAGTCGTCGTAACTCAGAGCCTACGACTGTCAATTATGTAGATCAACATTATGATAAACAGGTCGGCGACCTGGCCTCGTTCGCCAGTCGCATTCAAAATGGAAGTCTGATTCGACTGAACCTTGACCCTCTTCTCCCTTGCACTTCTGCTGCCCTAGGTGTGCTACACAGCCAAGCTCTTCGTCTGATGATACTTTTTCGCTTGTATACCCGAGTCTGCGCAGCCGTTTTGTCTGCCGAAACTCGCTGCATACCTCTACCAGTAATCCTTCCGACCCCCCCCCCTACTCAAGCACATCGTTGATTCCCATCCGCATCGTCAGTTCATACGAATAAGTACCCTTTCTCTCTCTCCCTCTCTCTGTACTTACTCCTCCTGCCCAGTGGGTGGCTGCACCTGAGCCATCAACCTCGACCAGGTTCAGTTGACCACTGTCCTCTGCAGTACGAGGAAAGAAAAGACTTTGTGAGCACAACTAATGCCGACGAGCGGAAGGCAGCTCGGAAGCAGCCTGTGTGAAGGCCATAACACTGGGGTATACAGTTGCGGCCATCTCCTACTACTTACCAAACACACAAAGTGAGAACAGATTCTCTGCTACAAAAGATGACCGGGTGCACTGGCCAACTAGCGGTACGTTTTCCTCCTTGCACAACCTTCCCTTGTTTTGTTCCCACTCTCTCAGTCCCGTATATCTGCGTGTACTTGTTGTTCCACTCTCACTCTGTTCCTCTGCCCTCTCTCTCCTGTATACGTAGACCCCTTTTAAGAAGTAGGACAGGGCGATATCAGTGACGACTGCTCGGTGTGACGCACACCCAGACCCTGAACAGCACGCACCCCAGACAGCCTGTTACCCACCGTCGGTTAACGCACCTGGCCGATGCCTTCAGCCAGGTTCATTCACTCTCCCCAATGTCCGCGGGGCCCTGCTACCGTTCGTGCGCTGGTGATGTCAAGCAGGATCGAGACGACGACGGGTGGGCAGCAGCGCGGTCGGCACTAGCAGGAGCATGAACCCCCGTACGATGCAGGGGGTGAACACGATGGACAGGACGAACACCCTGATCACGATGAACACCAACTTGAGGACAACGATCCATACGAGCACCGGAGTCCAGATGCCAAGCCCCGGGCGATGAAAACGACCCATGCCCTTCTCCGATGTTGTGAGCGAATCTCCTGCCGACTTATGGCCAGATGCAAACGAGATGCTTACTTGGCAGGAGTGAGGCGTCCAGCCGCCGAGCACCTTGTCGTGTTCTGGAGGAAGGTTCATTCCGAAGTGGCTCATCGTACCGATGGCAGTAGCCGGCCGCGGCCGCGAGATTGGGGACCTACATGTTGGCCGGTGCGATTGCTCGTCCCATCGAGGGAGGACGACGTCAAGCGAGCTGCAGAGTGATGCTTAACTAGCAATCCTCCGCCTCCCTTGCTACCCTTCCTCTTCTGTCTCGTCACCCCTATTGCTGCTCCATTCGCCTCTCTCTTCCTTGTTTCCCGACAGTCACTGCGTCCTTCTTGTCACTTTCCCAATTCCTCCTTACCATGGCCGTGCAGCCTATTCTATAGGTACCACCTAACCCGCTCATCCTACATAAGATCTGACCTCGCCATCAGCTTCGCCTCGCCTTGAAACCCCCAGGTAGCAACTTGATTCATTCAAATCGGCCGAGAAACGACCGAGATATACAAAAAACTCTCTCGACTCTCCTTTTCATCGCCCCTTCGACTCTCCCACGCAGCCCTTTTTCTTACTAGCTCTTAATCTACTAACTCTCCACTCAACTAACGTCGGATCTGGGCTCGCCTGATCCCAAACCCCTATCTACCGTCTTCCCCCGCTCGGGTTCATCAAGGAACGACCGGGACATGCATCTTTCATCTCCCTCATAGCTCGCTTCTCGTACCGCTCCGCCAGTCCTCTCCCTGAATGCACCTGATGCAAAACCCTGTCCCTATTCAGCCTTCCCTTTGCTCCTTCCTCCTGCCTCTATAACGCAGCGCCCAGCGATCGGTTCGGCCAGGATGACGTACAGCAATCGGCAGCCCACCGCATGCCACAGTAGCCAAGGTGTCGGGCTGCTTTCCGACTTTATACGTGTCGCCCCTGCGCAGTGGCCATGCTAGTCTCCTCTGTATCGTTCCAATTTTAACGGATGTCCCGAAGGACCACTTCCTGGGCAGAGATCTGGACCCGTTGGCCTGCTGCCTCAGGAAAGCCTGCATCATCTGGGTTTGGACCCAGGTCTGTATTTCAACAGTTCAGTGGTGTATCCACTGAACAAGGTTCTTGGGTTAATCCTGAGCCCGGATCTCGTGCCACCGCCGGACCACGTTCAGAAACAAAAAAAGAAAAGAAAAAAAAAAGGAAATAATAAAATAAAATAAAATAATAATAAAACGTATAATTTTTTTTTAGGAAGCGGAATAGGGGAGGAGGCCGTTGGTACTTGGTCCTCGGTACTCCCTCTCGGGCCCGCGGTCGGACTCCCCAACAAAAACTAAGAGGGATAGTTTCGCGGGACCCTCAACCCCTCAGTCCGCTCCATACTGCTCCTTCGCTGCTCACTGCTGGCCTCGATCCCGGAATCCGCTTGATGAAAGTCTAACACCGTAACCAATAGGGCTAAGCCCAAGCCTGGATTAGCTGCGCGCTGCCCTGTATGTGAATGGTACGGTTGGACAGCCTGGGCCTGCCGACGGTGCCCCAGGCCGTTTTCTAACTTACGACCTGCGCCCATGGCCCCATAATGCCGCTCTTGGCTGCCTTGAGGGCAAGGCTCCGCTTGGCCTACCACACGCGCCCGCACCACCGTAGCATGGCTGCGGGTCGAGCCTCTCATAGCCCGCCACGAGCACCTTTCTATCACCCCTCCTCCGACGAAACCCCGACTTTTGCTCTAGTTTGTGCCATTCCTACTTGGCCTCAGTGGCGGCTCCTACTATCGACGGTGCATAGTCAACCTAGTGCCCGCGAAATTTCACGCGGTGTGACCCTGAAACGCCGGCCCCCGGTAAGTCAGGCAACATTCTCCTCTAGTCACAATCCTACCTGATCAACCCTGCGCTGCCCGTAATTCCGTCCGTGCGTGCGAGGTTGCGACTGTCTCAGAAATTCTAGCCTAACACTTACTTGTTCTACCGGCGTCTCATAGTCTTCCTTGATCAAGGTTCGGTCAAGCTAGCGCTTGCCCACGAAGTGCACACTCACACACTCTCTAACCAACTCAAAGCATGTGCCTGCTCCCGATCCTTGAGGATTGGTTGTGGCCGCACAAAGGACACGCCCCTAGATACCGTAAAGGAGCGTGCCTCCTGCAAGCTACAAAAATGTGCCCAAATACCCTTGTAAGTGTATTCGGGCCGACATCGTTACTCACGTCGGTAGTCCCGAGGGCATGGTACACAGGGATTATTCAGGATCTCGTCGGACCGCTTGACCACCATAGCTACGCTATGGTGGTTTGGGGGTGGTAAAGCTATTGCTCAACTAGAACAGTAACACCCTCTTGAGGGTGGGCCTTCCCACTGGTTAGCGGTCTGGACTCCTAATCTCTCTCGCCACCGGATCGCACCGAACGAATGGCGGTGACGTCAGCAGTAGCTAAGCCTACTGGAACCAGAGGAAGATCGCGAATCTCTGTTTATTCCCGTGGAGGGAATGCGCCGGCCTTTATACCAATTTAGTTATACAATCGTTTTTCCTTGTGTGACCTGTGAGCTATGATTCATGGTTGTCATTCCATTTATTCCAATTGATAAGCCTCGACTAACAGTTGTCTGCTTCTATTTAATCCTATTCTTAGACTGCACTGGGATGAGTGACTCTGTGCCCCCCCCGGGCTCTTCGGCCCGGGGGACCCACACTCCACTAAGACTACACTCCGCAGAAGAGAAAGAACATATCTCCTCTCTCCTCACCGCATGCTTTCGTGATAGAATTCTGGCAACGGGCCTAAACATAGGGACCGCTGAGATAGAGGATGACCTCGCCCGCTTCAGCCTAAGCGAAGAATTCTAAAATCTTAATATCCAATGGTTGAAGGATCATGCAGTAACGATAGTGTTTTTGAACGAAGCAAATGCCCTGTCCAACACTCTGAAGAAGAAATTAGTCAGAGTGTATGAAAATGCTTGGTATGATGCATATAATGCAGGCATTGTAGATGAAAGTGTGAAGAGAGGAAGGTACCAAAGTGAAGGAAAAAATATGGCATCGTTCGTTTCTTCCGAACCGTCCATTATCTAACGGACTTCGGACGTTAAAGAGTATCATTTTAAGTTTGTTTTGTGGATGACGTTGCCTGAAATGAGGGTTTTTAAGGAAGTGGGCATGAGTTATTTCTGGATTCGATGCTTACGAGTCCCTTTCCAATTGATGTCGACACTGTATGAGGCAGTCGAACAGACTTTTGGATCCATCATAAAAGTTCATCCGATGGAGAAGGATGAGGACAATCCAGAATTGGCCTCGATAAGGCTAGATATGGATGTCGCCTCTCAGCCTCGAGTAAAATCAAGACTAGTGGTAAGGATCCCGGGTCAGGGCGATTACTTCGTCGAAGTAGTATCGCAGGCAACCCCCTGGTGCGAACGTTGTAGAATCTTTTACCATAATGACATTGATGACTGTTGTCCCGGAAATATCGAAAGGAACCCATTCGCGGACCATTCGAGAAATTCGAAACTCCCTACCCCACCTTTCTCTGGTTTTGTTCCGGAAGGGGATACCCCACCTGCTTCGGGATTCAGGAGATACCCGGGACAGAGTTGGGTCTCGAAACTGCAATTGGTCCCCGGCCAGAACGGAAAGCGGAACGGATTGACCAAACCCAAGAAAGGAACGGATATTCCGTCGAAATCCAAGGAAAAGGGAAAAGACAAGACGCGCGAGAAGGGGAAGGAAAGACGAAAGGATCAAGAGCCAAAGGAAAAGGGATACAGGGAAGTGGAAAAGGGCAGTCGGAAAGATCAGAGAGGCAAACGTGGGACAGGGGGGGAGCGGGAAGGGGATAGCTCGGATCTGACGAGCCAGAACGAAGCCACGTCCGATTCAGAATCCGATAGTTCAAAGCTCAGACAAACCCAGTTGGAGAAGAGAGCGGTAAAAGTACTATCGAAATCAGCGAAGAAAACTGAGAAGAGATATGTTAGGAAAGTGAGAAACGAAGAGATGTCATTCTCATATCATGGAAACCCGGGAGGAGAGGGTTCGGGCTCGAAGTTGGCAGAAGATGGAATGAAGATAGTAACAGAGGGTGTCGGAGGAGAAGATGGTTTGGGAAAAGGGCTCTCCAAGGCTGCCCCAATGCAGACCCTGGGGAGAGGAGAGGAAGTCACTCCTAGATCCTTAGTCCCCTTGGTTTTCGCTAACTCAAGTAAAGGAGTCAAGGTCCTAGCAGCCCAATTGGCAGATGGATCCATGGAGTTGCCAACGATCTCAACGAACGAGGCACTGACGAAATCCATAATCTTAAAGAAAACGAAATCGTTGATCCCGTCCTGTGTACAGTGTCGACTCGTTCAGTGCCTTCGAACGGGGGTTTATACCATTTCAACGGATAATGAGGAAATGAGATTCCTGTTTGCTTTTCTGAATGCAAAAATGGATAATATGATCAAAAACATGTTGGAATCGTTGATTGGGACTGGTTCTCGTTGGAAATCTTGGACTCTGATCTGAATGAAGAACTGGATTATATCCTGCTCAAAGGCTTCACAACAAAACTTATAGCCGAATGGCTACATGATGTGGAAGTCCACATGGGTATTCTGTTTGATGGATCCTTCTCTGACATTCTGAAATCCCCCTGGTTGGAGGGAGCTACTTTCACGACGGGGCAGGATGGAACGAGGAGAAGCAAGCAGATTGAGATTTCCTCCTCTTTTGGAGGCCGCATCCATGGCAAAGACGGTCTCCCTGGTCCGCGAGGCCCCGATGCCGAGTAGATCACACTTAAGAATTGTTTCCTGGAACGTTCGTGGCTTAAATGACACAGGCACTAAACATAGGAGAAGTCGCCTCAAAACATGGATTCATAAAAACCATGCCCATATTATCTGCATCCAAGAGTCAAAGTTGGATGAATCCCAATTGGAGGAAACCAACAAGTGGTGGTCTGACCCTCAATATTGGAGTCCAGCAACAGGGGGCCAGGGGGATTCAGGAACAAGGGAAGCGGTGGGAATTCTTTTTCATAAAGATCTGAATATTAAAGTATTGGATCATATGGCGGATATCTGGGGACGTTGGGTATGGGTGAGCTTCTCCATCGGGGAAGAGGAATGGTCAATAATGTTCGTATACTCGCCAGTATGCTACGGTGATAGAGTAAAGTTCATCTCCGAACTTACAAGCTTCATTCCAAATTCACCCCATTTAATCATCGCTGCAGATTGGAACACGATTTTGAACCCGGGTTTGGACAGCACAAAGATGGAACCGAAAAGAACAGATACCAAATTACTAAAAGCCTTCATGACTAAATTAATCAGGAGACCGACGGACGTCTTTCGGCTGCTAAATCCAGATAACCCAGGGTATTCCTGGTTTGACTCTTAGTCCCCTCCGATAAGGAAACGGTTGAACTTTTTCCTTATCAGAGGTGTGGCGAGCGAGTACTGCACCAAAGTGGAAGTCGGTTCCTCCTCTATTCCAGACCACTCACCAATACAAGCTTCATTTAAATTATCACGAGACCAAAGATTTGGCCAAACCTACTTTAAATTAAACACGATACACCTACAGGACCCGGAGGTGATTGCTTGGATTCAACGTCATCTCAAGTAATGGGAAAAGGTCAGGACGTTGTTCACATCGGAAGAGAATTGGACAGAGGTCGGTTTTTTAATTATGCAAGGCTCGCTAAGTAATATATCACAAATTAAAGCATTCCATAATAAACAGCAGGAAAATAAACTACACCAAAAAATACGCAAAGCGGAAGCGGAATTTGGCAAGCACTCAGTTTCAGATGCATATTGGACGGTCATACGAAGAAGAGCCGTACTACAGCTAGAGGCACGAAAAATTAAACAACAACAACAATGGAAGGAGTGGCTAGCCCAGAGAAATATAGTAACTGGGGATAGGATGACAAAAGAGACCTTTAGGAGGCTATTACTTCAAAACAGAAAGACGCCAATGCTAGAACTGGCTCACCCTTTCTCGGTGTTCCCCCAGGTCTCGGACGAACTGGACGTTATGAGCGAATATGCATGCCTTTACATTCAGGATATTTTAACTACCCGGAGACCTTTTGATAACTTCGCTACGGATCTCAGGAACCGCTCAGATTTCTGGAAGCTTTCTGGGGCGGCTCTTCCAACTCAAGGAAAACTGGACTTGGAAAGACCCATCAGCATGGCAGAACTCCACTGGGCTGCCAAGCAAATGGCAATGGGCAAATGCCCGGGAGATGATGGTATACCAATAGAGATATACCTGGCAGTATGGGACCTCATCAGCCCAGTGCTACTTAAAATATACAACGGAGTTTTGACTGGGGGTTCACTAACCAAAAGCATGATGCAAGGAATAGTCATGTTGATCTACAAAAAAAGTGAGAAATCAGATGTTCGAAACTGGCGGCCTATATCGGTGCTAAATATCTTCTATAAGCTTGTTGCAAAGGTTCTAGCCATAGGGCTAGCCAGATACTTGACAAGCCTGGTTGGAAAGGAACAAGGGGCTTTTGTGAAGCATAGGTCGATTATGGATAATATAGCTTGCACAATACAAGTTTTGGAGATAATCGTGAAGGAAAACCGCAATGTAGCTATACTACTGCTCGATATGGAGAAAGCATACGATCGTGTAGGGTGGGCCTTTGTCTCAACGACGTTAAAGCACATGAAATGTGGACTGAATTTCATTAAATGGGTCACAGTGATATATTCATCGGCTACTGTAGCGGTCATAGTTCATAGAAAAATCTCTCGAACATTCTCTCTCATACGCTCTCTGCGACAAGTGTGCCCGCTGACCCCTCTATTGTTTGTTCGACACTTAGAAATTCTCCTTGACAATATCAGGTAACGGGATTCAATCGTAGGACTCACACTTCAAGACTCAATTCAATGGAAAGGGGGGGCCCTAGCGGACGATCTCACTCTGGCATGCTCTAACTCTCGAACTAACCTCTTGGAAGTCTGAAAAGTTCTTAACTCTTATTGTGACTTGTCTGACGCTTCTATCAATTGGAATAAATCTGGTTTTTTTATGCCTGAATCATATGACTTACAAGCAAATTGGGGATTAAAAAAGGTGTCAGCTGACTGCTCGGATCGGTTTCTGGGAGTGCAAGTCTCACTATCGGACAACTCTGTGTTTCAAGACTCACAACTGGAGGAAAAAGTTGTTGGCAGGCTATTGTCGTGGAACAGCCTTCGTCATATGTCGTTGTTTGGAAGAGCCTTGGTGGTCTCGTCAGCAGCTTTTGCAGTTCTGTGGTATACTCTGGCTGTTCATCTCTTGGGTGATGATGCATATAGCAAGATTAAAAAAGCAGCAGCCAGAGTCTTATGGAAGCCCGAAGGAACTCCTCAGAGCGGTTTTATTTCAAAAATCGCCTGGGAAACTATCACTTTCCCAAGAACGGCCGGGGGACTTGGCATACTAGATCCTCAGCAACAGAATATAGCTCTATTAAACAGCCATTTCGTCAAAACGGACATATTATATTTTTTGAACGAAATTGAAATTGAGTTTTTGGGCCAACATCCGGTCCAATTTTTTAGCTCCTGGGGATCTGGCATTCCCAGAACGCTGGACCCCCTAGATGTATCTGGTCTCTGCTTGAGGTCAGATACATCTAGGGGGTCCGACGTTCCAGGAACGCTGGACCCCCCGGAGCCAAAATTTTGGACCTGATTTCCCTCAAAAAGGGCCAACCCCTTGGGATATCAAATTTGAATTGACCTGCCCCACTAAGTTCACAGGTTTTTCTTTTTTTTTCTTCTTTGTTTTTTACAGGTATTTTTACTCATCTGAGGGCACGCTCACACACACTTGGGCATACTCACACGGGCACCCCGAATCCGCAAAATATGCGGATTTGGGAAAGACGGATTTGGGGTTTTGGGCATGGTTCGGGTCGCACTGCTGTACCTTTTCGGATGGGACAAGGCCGTGTTAGGGGTATTCTCAGCATCAAACATGTTACGAAATGACAAAACCGATGACGGCCCGTAGGCCTAACACAAAGGACAGACGATGACCAAACATAGCATACAACCTGCCAAGCATTCCCTTGTTGTCCCATCTTGCCAGTTTCTGTAAGCCTGATTAGAGATAGCAGACTTTAGACTTCTCTAATAACACCTCTTCTGTGTCTTCCATCTTTTCCAAGCCTGCATTGCAACAAAAGAGTTTGTCCATTCCCTCATGATAGAATGTCGGACAGCACACCAAAGTGTCCCCAGGATTATGATCGATGGGAACCCGAACCAGGCCCTCCAGCCAGCTCAACCAAGTCCGAACACCTTCCTCCGTACACTCCGAAGGTACCCTTACCACCCCAGTGAAGCAGTCAGTAAGATCTCGGCGGAAGATCCAAGGAACACAAAAGTCTAGTTCAAGGAAGGAGTTAGAGATCTGGCGTCGTAGCCTACCGGCCACATCAGATTTGGCCGGTCTTACGGTGTTGCGATTGTTTCATAGCCAGCCTGGGGCTTCCTCCCACTCATTAATCTGAAATCTCACGTGGCCATCCTCTCTTGGTAACTCAACAGGAAGCTTGCTGCATACACAAGAAAGGTTAGCGTCTCTAACAGCATCCCGAAAGTTAAAAATCCAATCCCCTACACTTCTGTTCTTAAACCAAACCACCCTCATCTGTCTATTCACCATACGTTTTCATTCCTCATCTGCTTCAGCTTTCATGATGGCAAGAGAGCATGCCGACCTGATACTGGGCTTACTCAACGCCTCATCATAAGTAACCCTTACAGTGAGACGCTTCCTTTTTTTTTTTTTTTTTTTTTTTTTGGA